TTACTATTAGAATGGCTGTATTTTTGAGTTACCTTCTAGAGTCTGAAATGTCTGAAAAGAAACACTGTTAATTCTTGTACATAGGTATCAACCTGTAATTTTTTTAAAAATCACTAGGGATATTGTTTGGCCTCTTGGTTTGCAATCTGAAAGGCCAAAATTGCGTACAACATCTGCTATGGGATAAAGTCAGTTACTCATTGCAGCCATGGACAAAGTCACAAGAATAGATCGGGTGACAGAAGCTTCAGACAAAGGGTAGTGGAAAGTGAGAGTGTAGTTCTTGATTGGTTGATATACTTCACATCAAGAAGAAAAGATGATGGGAATGTTGGAAAGCCTGATTATGGGTCACAGTGATTAGAGAGAGTCCCAAGATAGACTGTAGGGCTTCTTAATGCAGCTAGGAAAGCTGGATACTCCATTCTTATCTTCATATATAAGAGTAACCTAGACTGCTCTGCCTGGGTAAAGACATAGGAGTAAATTTAGAAGACAAAAAACATCCACTTAATTTCTTTTAGCTTTTTACTATCTGATGCTAAAATTTTAGAGTTAGAAATTAGTTGTTTCATCTTGAATAGTGTATCTCCTAACTTTTTAGAAACCTAGGGTCACTAAGACTATATCTTTGCTTTGAAATACTCCTAATTTTTGCTTATTGGATTTATATATTTTGAAACAAGACTCAGATTTTCACTTAAAACTTCCTTCTTGTAGTTATACAACCTTGAGGATAATTTGTGTGGTACAAATGTCTAATCTTGATACACAGAATATCACAAAAATATGCTGAATTATATAATATATAACACAGGTCAGTTGGAGAAGGAATAAAGCATTTTTCATCAATATAACAGTTGGTAAATAATGCCTATACATAATGTATAGCTCAAATAATACGGTGTTCATTTATCAGGTGTTCTGGAAGATCTTGGGTAGTACCCATGAATTCTTAAAGGTATATTATAATTTGAAAAATGCATAAATATGTTTATTACTTCTCATATGTACATTTTAAAATAAACTTGAGAAAAATATTGCTACCATAAAATGTAACACTAACAGTTATAAACAAATTTTAAAACAGTAGTCTACAAGATTAAATACCTATTCCTCAGCCTGGCATACCAAGCCCTCCATAATCTGGCCTTTACCTACCTTTCTAGCCTCTTCTTTCACTGTTCCTCTATTACTTATATTGTTTTTAATCTTAGTGCCTTTGCATATGATATTCTTTTATTGTCAATACTCTTTAATTCCTCTTCCCCTTCCACCACTATATAACAGGATAACTTTCCCTCTACTGGACTGACCCTAACCAGCCTGCAGAGCTGGACAATTCCCAGGACACCAACACTCCTCCCACTACATGCACATACAGATACACACATTGGGCTGGAAATAGATTAGAACCTAGTAGATGTGGTCTATCTAGATCTATTAAGGTTTTTATTAATTACATTAGCTTTCAACAAAACTATTGGGACTAACGGGTGTTAGAAAGCCTACCAAGATCATACTGAGTGTTTACCTGACCAACTGCAAGCAACAGTGGCAGCTCTTGTTCATCAACAGGCAAGGACTCCTGGATCATCCCTGAATATAGGCTCATCACTTCAGAAGAGACTTTACCTTCTGCATGAGTATGTATAAGAAACAATGGTGATATAGCACCTCTTGTATTTTCCTGGATAGAGCTGGAACTTATTCTACTAAGTGAAGTATCCCAAGAATGGAAAAATAACCACCACCACATGTACTCACCAGCAAATTGGTTTCACTGATCAACACCTAAGTGCACATATAGGAATAACATTTATCGGGCGTCAGGCAGATGGGAGGGGGGAGGAGGGGATGGGTATATACAAACATAGTGAGCGCGATGCACACCATCCAGGGGATGGACACGCTTGAAGCTCTGACTGCGGGGGAAGGCAAGGGCAATGTAACCTAAACATTTGTACCCCCATAATATGCAGAAATAAAAAAAAAAAAAGGAGAGACTTTACCTTTGCATGAATATGTACCTCATGTAGCTATTTATAAATAAATACATTTCAAAGATAAAAATGTAAATGGATGAGCAAAGGGCTAAAATTCAAAAGCCAAGTTGTTCTGACAGAGAATAATAAAGAGGGGGAACATAATAAACCAGATATAGAAAGTAAGACAGACAGATATAGAGGTAGACAAATTGACTGAACAGAATAGGGAGCCCACATTATATAGTAATCAGGAAACTAAGTCAAAACCACAAAGCAACACCAGTTTACACTAATTCAATCAGCAAAAATTAAGAAGTCTGATAATTCCAAATGTTGAAAAGGATGTGAAGCAACAGGACTGACTATGTATTACTGGGAGGAGTAAAAACTGGTATAACCATTTTGGAAAACAATTTGGCATTATCTTTTGGAGTTAAACATTTAAATAGCCTATGACTCATCAGTTTCACTCCTAGACATATACTCTAGAGCTGCAGTCCCCAACTCCCAGGCTGTGGCCCATTACTGGTCCATGGCCTATTAGGAAACAGGCCTCACATCATAGCCTGAGCTCTCCAGCACCACATCTCCTCCCACCATGACACTCCATACCCAGTCCATGGAAAAATTGTCTTCCATGAAACTGGTCCCTGTTGTCAAAAAAGTTGGGGACCACTGCTCTAGGGTATGTATGGAATATGTAGAAGAGGAGACATGTACAAGAAGTACTTAGAAATAGTATTCATAATAGCAAAAAACAAAATAAAACAAAGAAACAAACAAAAACAAACCAAGAAACAACCTAAATGTCTCTCAATAAGCTACTGGAGAATAAAGTTTCTGTATAGTCTTACCATGGAACACATAACAGTGAAAATTGAGACACTATAGCTACTTAATATAGATAAATCTCAGAAACATAATACTGTATCCAAAAAGCAAACACTAGATGATGACAAGTAGTATGATACCTTTTTAAAATGAAAAGATAATACTACTAAACAATACATTATTTAGACATTTCGACATGTGATAAAACTAACTAAAAAACTCAAAAAGGAATGAAAAATGTGAAGTCCAGAATAGTGGTTAACTCTGAGACAGAAGTAAGGAGATAGAATAAAAAAGAAACACCTAAGTAGAAGAAAGTCAGGAATATTCCAGTTCTTGGATAGCAGTAGACAAATTGACTGAACAGAATAGGGAGCCCAGATTGGTTGGATAATATAATGTGTATTTATAAAAATAAGTTAATAAAAAACTAAATAAAAAATAAAATTATAATAACTCTAAGGATTCCACTGTTTTATAAGTTTTATCTGTCATTTACTGCTAAGCAGTTGCCAAATCTTATATAAATAGCTTACTATCTTAGAAATTCCAGTGAATTGGTAAAATAACTCTTGAAAAATTCAATGTAAGTATGATTTTTAAATCTTTTATAATACCAATTTTCTGGACTTCTTCTCAAAAAAGAAAGGAGTGAAAGGGCTTTACCATACCTGATTTCCATGAAGGTCCAAGACATCTAAGCTTTTTAGATTTTCCAGATTTGAGATTTTCTTGATTCTGAAAATCAGAAAAAATATAATAAGTAGAATAGAAATATGGAAGTATCACATCTCTCTGTAAATCAAAGCATGCTAAGGTGTAAAGATGCAACTCATTTTAATTTATTCTCTCTCCCTCTCTCTATATATAGTTATAATATATATGAAAGGACAGCCTTGATAATAAACTATCTAACAGAGAAAAATAAACTAATTTATTAGATAGTTTATTAGGTATTAGTCTTTAAGATTAATCACCTATCTTTTAAGATCAATTAACTGCCTGCTGTGACTGTTTTCACAGCATTTGAAAAGAGCTGAGCAGACAGAAAGGAAGTTTAAATCCTCCTCTACATTCACCAGACCCATCTGGCCAGATAAGACTGTCTCCAAGAGAAGAGGAAAAAAAAAAAAAAAGAAAAACCAGACACAGCAGCTCCACACCCATTTTCCTACTGTCATTTTCCTGCTATCAGTCTGCCACAATAAATTTTTCTTTTTTTTCCCTTTTTCCCCATAAAAATCCTGAGGCCTTCTACTCACAGCCAGCACTTCTTTTTCTTTGTGCCAAGCCCTTTCCCTCCCCCTTTTCTCTCAGGGAAAGTAAAATAATCTTCTTTCTTCTTTCTATCCTAATCTTTGTGTTGAGAATTCTTTCTCATCCTGCATATAAATTCCCGCCCTAATAATACACATCTTAAACAATAATATATCTCCCTTTGATTTATTATAATTTTAAAGATGCAATACCACTAGGGGAAAGATAGCTTAAATATTTATCTTCAGAAAAGAGCAATTCTACTTCTAAGAACCTTAGGTCAAGGCATCTAATCCTAAGATGATCATAAGAAATGTAGATAAGTTCTATTCATTAGCCTGTAATTATCAGGGCACCAGAAGTTCTAGAGAGGATAAGCAGGGGACATTGAAGGCAGAAAAATTAGAGGGCAGGGACTTCAACAGCAAAGTGGAGTTGGGAGTTCTATGGTAGCCATAGAAACTTCACATACAGAATCTGAACAGGGATCTTTCTAACTCTTGAATAGAAATCTATGTTGAACCTGCCTGAACCTAGAGACATCTGGTTACACTGGATTTCCATATATGGTTCCAATGCCTTGGACTAAAAGATGGTGCAGTGCTTTGCAATGTGGGACGGAGAAACCTTTCTGGACTTTACCAGCAGGGGGCACCAAGTCATCCAAGACAAACATGAGGAGACAGAGTGGCAGATGTGCTTCCCTCTTCACAGCCTTCTCAGCTGGGTTTGCCTAATGCTCACAAGGACTGCCTCTGGATAGATTTGCATCTTCAAAGCTAACAGGCTTCATGCTGTCACAAAGTTGACTGGCTAGAGAGCACTTGGCATTTGTTTTAGGGATCAGATTTGCATTTTACTGATACTTTAGAAATATACAATTTGGGAGAATGTAGAAAGTTATCTTCTGACTCCTTTTCTTTTGATTTGTTTAACAGCTATTTTCTTTATGTGAAAAGTAAAGCAAAACATGACCAAAAACAAAGAAACAAATAAGGTGGAGGAGTAGAAGAGGAAGAAGAGACAGCATTAGATTGCTTTTACTTCACCAAGATGAAGATATAGTAGAAAGGCATTAGGTCCCTTAGAGTTGGAAGAACAGAGGCCTTAAATAAGGTCAGAAAGTCAGATAAACTGGTGCCTTAAAGGCACAAGTTATCAAGAAAAAACAAAAAAACAACAACTTAATAGGTTATTTCTGAGAAGCCAGAGAAGGTGAAAAGTAGAAGTAGGAAGAGAGAAGAAATGGAGAGATGAATTAAAATGGTAGGAAGCAGAGGCAGCTCTTAGATATTACATTTAAAACCAGAGGAGATTAAAAATATCACTAGAAAACATTCTTAACTCAAGGACTAAAAGAAGGGCAAAAAGTCAATAGTATTAAAGAATAAATGTGAGTTAGAAAAAGAAATCGGTAACTCTGTGGATCAAAAACTAGCAAAATCTCTGGAAGTGATAACAGGGAGCACCTAGAAGGGAATGCCATAAATGTATGAAAAGTGAACTTTCCTCCTCACCTTACTCAGTGAACTGCTCTGGTGGCATACTTCTACTGTACAGAGTTTGTAACTTTGCAAAAGTCACTTTACCTTCCCATTTCTTCATCTGTGAAATGAGAAAGCTGATCTCTGAGGTCACTTCAAGCTTTAATACTTTATGATTGTATAATCCTTCTGCTATGGTTGGGATATTTGACCCCTCCAAACCTCATGTTGAAATCTGATTCCCAGTGGTGGGGCCTAATGGGAGGTGATGAGTCATAGGGGCGGATCCCTCATGAATAGAGGATATAGGGGAATGGTGCGGAGCGAGTGAGTTCTCACTCTATTAGTTCCTACCATAGCTGGCTGTTAAAAAGAGCCTGACACTTTCTTCCTCCTCTCTCACCATGTGATCTCCACACACATCACATTCACTTTCCACCATGAATGGAAGCAGCCAGAAGCCCTCACCATGCTTCTTGTACAGGCTGCAGAACCATGAGCCAAATAAACCTCCTTTCTTTATAAATTGCCCAGACTCAGGTATTCCTTTATAGCAACACAGACTGAGACATCCCCCAAATTCCATTATACTACATACTTAACACTTGAACTAATTGTGGGTGATAAGCCACACTGTTGGGAATCTTCAAAGAAAACACAGAAGACAGATAAGAGCCTAGAACTCTGGGACATGGTCTTGGAAAAAATACATTATCATTGGATAGTGGGAATAATGATTGTTGAGGCTCAGAACACAATATCACAAATTATGGCACCTAGGCATACTGAGTAATTTAAGCTGAAAGAAACTGAGAAAACCACAGAAGCAGGAAAGTCACTCTCTAACCTTTTCCCCTGAAGCCATAAAAAGAATTCTCTGACCTACCTCCCCTGAAAGTAAGTCATAAGACCCTCATTCCAGAGGGATCCTGTCGTATACCCCCCAAAAAGGAATGAAGACAGAGAGATGCCAAGAAGAATTTGAACAAACGGGACTTGCTAAGTTCTCCCAGTTTATTACCATTGTATCATGCCCCCCTTTGTGCAATCATACTTCTAAACAACTGTCCACTTGTCATCAAACCTAAGCATAAAAATACAGTTTTCCCCATTTCTTTGGGTCTTCATTTCTGAGGGCTTCTGTGTCATGTAAAACTCATAAATTTGTTATGATTTTCCCTTGCTAATCTGTGTTTGCTATAGCAGTGTCAGCCGTGTGCCTTGCAATGGGTGAGGAAAAGATATTACTTATTTTCCCCTATAAGAAGTAATCCAAAGTTGATGCTGGGGGAATGGT